CAGGGACTTGGCTAGAAACAAGGTCGCTGGAGAAGGCGATGCACAAAGTGAGGACTCCAAATAAAATTTGCAAACTCTACATGCTGTTAGTTTTCAGTAGCTTATCCTTTTTACATCCTTTTAATGTTTTGCCAAAAACATGCTTGTGTGTGCCTGAATAGCATAAAATGTATTCTGCATAGTTTTGTATTTATTTTTGATATAGTGTCATAAATTATCAAATGTAATGGTTCAAAACAAAAGCATTGAAAGATTAACTCTATTTTGAAATGTTTTTATATAAATGATGTAAAGTTACTTGGAAATATGAATTTGGTTATATGAAATAATCTCACAAAAAAATCACACAAAACTTTAAAAAACACTTATCAAGGTTCGGTTTGTGCTGACATTGAAAATAAAAATGAAAATCAAATTGTTTTGATAAATCCTTTAAAACTTATTTGATAATATCCTCTTACTCCTTCAATGTAGAAGTTACTGTATTGGTGTGGAGTTTTGCTGGGTTGCTGTTGTGATCATTAACAATGCTGCAATCTACATTGGGATTGTTATTTTGAAGTTCCCGTGCAGTTAGAGAGGATGAAATGAAGTGGAAAAAGTGCTATTTGCTGCCCTTGACAATGTGCCTCTTGTGTTTTTAAAACGGGAATAAGCAATAATCGTTTTTCTTAGTACAATGTAGTAGAGATGAAGTATAACAAATTGCCTTGACACTATGAAAATGTATGTTTTATTTCTTACTACTGTAATTTGTTTACTTAACTAAAATAAAATTATTTATTAAAGGTTGAATGTGTTTGTTTAAATTTTTTTTTTCTTCATTATCAGTTTAGTAACGAACTTGTAAAGGATCAATTCATTTTTATGACTTGATAGTGAAAACTCTCCTGGAAGTGTAGGAATGATGGTATCTGTTTTTTGGGGTTTGTTTTGTTTTGTTTTTTTCCCCCAAATACTGCAGTGAAAGTATGAGACAGTGAGATATGCAGAGCAAATTCTTCTAATAGCTTTTTTGGTATTGTTATTAGACTGTAGTAACAGACAACCGAATAACTACACTGCATATGGTGACATCATTGTCATTGACTCAGCTTTTCTCTCCACAGGCTGCCTTTCTGATTTTCCGTACGGCACGCATCGGGATTGTGCTGCGCTTTCTGAGGGAACTTGTTAAGACTTTCTGAGGAAAACGGAGTAAGCATTAGAAGTAACAGCAGCTATTTCTACTGTCTCTTGTAGGATTAATTTGGAAGAAAGTAACTGCCTGTGCCTGAGACTGCTCTGCCAAATGCGCTGTTCCCTAAGGTTTACTGGTAGGAACCCGACGGTTTCCAGGAGCTAGCTCGCTCCAGCCTCCAGTTCCTGTGTGGATGGCTGCACCCGCCCTTGGGGCATAGGGAGGGCAGTTTCTAGAGACTAGGGGAGCCTCGGGGGGGCAGATGAAGGGTAATGGCAGGAGGAAGAACAATGGTTATCTACTGGTTTGTGGGCTCCCTTTCCTTGTCCCTCTGGGGCTTTTTGCCTTCAACTGAATTTTCTGTCCCAGCAGCACCCTCTCCTGAAAGAGCAGTTACCGGGTTACCCTCGCTTTTTAGCTTTTAAAAAGCATCATCGGCCTCGAAGGCTTAGAGCAATGACATTGTAGTGCGGCTCCTGAAGGCTGTGTGGAGGTGTCATGGGGACACCACTTTTGGAGATGGCTTTTAACATGTGTACTTTGCCCTTGCAGGGCTGGGAGCGTGCTGTACCACCCAGCTGACGTCAGTCAGCATCTTTCTTGCATGACCCTGGCACCACTACAAGCTGTGCTTGCTTGCTTTTAACCATTTTAAAGTATGAAAGTTAATCAAAATAACCTCCAAATGCATTTTATTCTAGATAAACCCATACAAACACCAACATGTATTTGTCATTTGCACTTTTTTTTTTTAACCATTCATTTTAAACAACAGGTTAACTTCTGTACAACAGGAATTACTTCACACATTAGTAAGATTTGACTTTATGCTAGGTGACTGCAAAATAATGCTCTGTAAGCTAGTGTTAGAAAATACGCTGTTCGCCATAGCAGTTTGCCTGTAAACATGTGAAAAGAAGTTAAAGAGAAGTTTGCTTTCATTTCAGAGAATGCTATTCGAATTGTTGGGTTGCCATAATCCAGCTTTAGTCAGAGGTGGTTGTTTTTGTCCCTGTAACAGTAACAGCGATTTGCAGATATGGAAGGTATGCCAATGTTTTGTGTGCTGACCCAAACCTACCAAAAGAGCCACAATCACTTAAATTATACTTCACATCACTTCGTGAGATCCACTTGATGGGTTACAAAGTCCCAGCATGACTTTAAATGGCTTACTAACAGAGTGACGCTGTTTAAGAGGCTTGAATAAAAGGCAATAATCCTATTCCAGGCTGTAGGCTAAAGCTATACGGCCTGCTTCAACACATACTTAAATCTCTAGAAATCATTAAAGCTATTGTAGCAAACAAGCAGTAGTACAAATACAGAATAGGACTGATTTCCATTTCCTCATCATATAAACACATATAGTGAAGTTCACAGGATCAGACCCACGCAAACAGATTATATTTTACAGCTTTTCAAGCAGAAATGTTGGGTTTGCTTTTTTTTCTGCCTGTACAGAAGGTTACTGTTGAACAAAACTATCACAGTTCATTCAAGTGCACTGCCAGCAAACACCTGAAGTGGAACGCAACTGCTGAGACATCTGTCGAACTGGAGTGAACTGCTCCATGCCCCTCCTTTAATATTAATTACTGTGCTTTATTTATTTGATGCTGCTTTAAAAGGTTAGGTTAAGAATGATAAAAATCAAGCCCTTAAATACAGGTATTCTAAGCTTAAGTGCTACTCAAGCCATGGTCCACTCCTTTAGGACAGAGGGCAAGACAGGTTGGGGTGGGGTGGGTTTTTTCCAATCAATATTAAACTTACGACAGTATATTGTGCCAGGCAGAGAAAAGAACTGCTGAAAGTACTGCAACATTGTAGTGCAGTTTCCTGAACAAAGCCATACATTCCATCAAGTATAAAGTGTAAACTTAATAGCAAGTGTAAGACTTGAATTAAAAACAAACAAACAAAAAAAGCCATCACAGTATGGGTTGGCAGCTGCCCTCTCTGATATGCAAGAGGTACAATTTGTGCCATCACACGGTAGGGAGGGGGCAGACCAGTAGGCAACGTGTTTTTGCATTTGCTTTTTTTCCATGTTGACGGGCGGCCTTGCTTCTGCGAAAGCGCGGTTAGCGTTCACCGGCGCTGCCCAGCTGCGTGCCGTGGGACTGTTGCCTGGTACCTGCGGCTGGAAGCCTCTGGAGCCAAGCCAAAAAAAGTGGGCCGGCCAGCCTCTGGGCTCCTCCGACGCAGCGGCGCACAGCAGCAAATGTTTGGAGCGCCGCACTGCCTGGGAGCCCCACGAAGGCATCTCTGTCTGGTCACAGCCCCAGCATACACTTTCTACACCAAACCCGGGCTGCCCGTGCCGGTCACAGCCCGGTGGCACCCTCGCTGCTGCCATGGCAGGGGACAGCTCTTCCCTCTCCTGTGGGCCACTGCGCTACACCGCTCACCTCCAGCGGTGGGACCCTCAAGAAAGGTGTGGGGATGTATCTCCGTCTCACCAACGCCTGCCTTACCTCAAACCCAAGGGCAGGCTGCAGCCGAGGCGCCGTGTGTGACTGAAGCAGAGTCCGCGGCAACAAGAGATTTCAGCTGTAGTGGAGGGGAGGACCGCGCTGGGGCGGCAGGCGATGCTCCTCCAGGGCTTTGCATGGTAGCCACTGCACCAGCCTGTTCTCAGCAGCGTGGCCACACACCTGCTTTCCAGCCAGGCTAACTTTAGCCACCAATGCAAATGTAATGGACCCCTCCTTTGAAAATGGCCAAGCCTCAAAAAACATCCTAGCAGGACTAAGGCAGGTGCCTCCCCCGCAGCCCTAACTAACTATCATCTATCATGTTTATATCAGTTTCTCGTACAGCATCAGGGATTCTACCAGCCCTTCTCTTCTCCCACGTTAGTAAAATAACCCTCTTTTGGCAAAGCCTTTGTGCGGACAACCTGAAAGAGAGTAACGCTGGCTTTAGATACGTGAGGCCCTTGCACAGGGATGGCGAGGCTGGCCAGGCCTGTCGGCACTGATGCACGGGCCGATCGTGCACCCGAGTACAGGTTTGTGCACCAAAGCGCAGCCATCGTCAGCTGCTTCAGCAAATCACAGCGCTGTTCCGATGCGGTGCAGCTGCACGGAGGTTTCATGTGTGACGCTGCTCACAAGTGTTTCACAGCTTATTTAAGGATGGAAAGGTAGAAATGTAAACACAGACTGATGCCGGTCTTGCGCCTTTCTCCGAAAGCCTCCCTCCCTCCCTGCTCAGTGGTTGGCTTCACTTTGCATGTGGAATTTATAACCTAAGGAAGAGAAGTCCTGCCATGTGGCATTTGGACTTCAAATCCACTTCTTCTGCTAAGCACACTTGTCCTAAGTGTCACTTTGGTGCTGTTTTGTTTTTTTTTTCTGAACAGGAACCAGTGTACGTTTGCCTGGAAGGAAGGAAACTGCAGCTGACCCCTATTCTGAAGCCGGAGCTCAGCCTCGTAGATTGCCAAGGCTGCTGAAAGGATGTGGCGAAACATCACCTTTCTCTCTTAAAAAAAGAGCTAAGCAACTCACAAGTTCACACAGGCAGCTCTGAACTTGCAGCGTGTTTTGTGCATCTCCTACGAGCTTGTTTTCAGGTAAGCAGAAAGCTTACTTAGGCAGTATTTTTGAACCAAAAGGTCTGTGTGTTCAAGTACCTAAAAATGCTGGCCCTGCCAATGCTACACTCACTTTCGCTTTCACATGCCCACGTTTGAAGATGTAAGCCTGCCCGTACTTCATTCCCAAACGTAGCTTTTACTTGGAATGGTCAGAGTGAAGAAGAGTGTCCAAATGTTTAAAACCCTGTACATAGAGTCAGTCAAAACAGTTTTGGGAGCAGTAGCGCTTATTTAAAGCCCCCCTCAGTGATGCTGTGAGTCAGGGCTCTGCTCAGAGCCATTTGCATTTTTTCTTTTCATCAAATAAGGCTTTTACTTGCTGGAGCTGTTTCTGGACTTCTTCAAACCCCCGTTCTCGCTCGAGTTTGCTGACAATCTGTTAACAATTTGCAAAAAAAGAGAATAATTTTCTTAGTGCTTATTTTACTTGCTGCTTTTTAAAGCTTGATTTTCTGCATTCCAACAACTACTGGCAGAAAAATCCATCTGAATGCCTGCCTATATGTAAACATTCTTTTCTGACTTTAACACTTTATTTTGGTAGTTTTCCTTTCAAGTCATTATGATTACAGGATTTGCAACACTTCCACAAAAGAATGACAGAGCCAAGCAAAAAAACCCAAACAAATCCAACAAATGTTCATCTCTTGAAGTGTGAGGCAAGGCCAGCACTCCATTTTACCCGAGAGCAGATTTGCAAATGATATTTTCTCTTCCTCTGCCCTATGAACTGAGGGCAATAAACTGCTGCCTCTAACCGGCCCACTTGGCACTGGCCCAGATGATAGGAAGGAGCACCACTGCTGTCTGAAAACCCTTTGCTGGCAACTCTACAGAGGGACTGAGGTCTCAGCAAACAATGAATGAGGTTTAGCTGCTCCCAGTCAAAAGCTAGAGGTGGAAGAGCAGAGGGAGGGTTTCCTTCCAAGGATGGGCATCGTGGTTTAAGTTTAGCCAGTACTAGCTTCCAAAAAGCAAAAATGGGCACTGAGATAAGAAAGTATTCTGAAGTCTCCTGTGTCAGCAATTTTAATGAGCTTAATAAAGTGTAGTCCCATACCAAGTATCACCCCAAACTTCTTCTAAGAGGCAAAGGTTTGATGCTGAACACAGATAATCTGAGATGTTAGAGATCAGAAGTGGTAAGCCAGCTAACAAGTGACCGAGAGCTGGATGATTAGAGCAAGTGCTGATGCTGTGCTGCTGGGGACGAAAGAGAGAAAGGTCTGGTTGCTGGGAGACCCAGACAACCTGCTGGAAGTGGTAAGGAGGCCTTCAGGCAACACGCCCCAGCCGGCTCTTATCTGCGTCCCTGGGCAGGCACATGCAGCCTCTGTTAAGGATGCTGAGCAAAATGGAGTGGAGAATCCTACCGTGCAAAGGGGAGGGCAGGGATTTTCTTACAAAGCAGCTTAGAGGTAGCCTGTGCCTAAGTGCTTTCAGTCAAAAAAAGATTTCTTTTGTGAGCAATAGCAGCGACGGGACGCTATTGCGGCTTTTCTTTAGGAGAAAGACTATTAGGGCAGAGCGTAAGAGGGCTATGATGGGAAAGGAGCAGACACCTCTTGCTGTAAGGCTGAGTGTGCTCTGCTGAGGTGTTGGTACTGCCTGCTAAATCGAGATCCCTGGTGCTACAGTCTAATCTGATCTCTGAATCTCCAGGGAAATGGAGCACATGCACAGGAGTTGTGACAGGCATTAGCAGACACTCTGCAAACATGGTAAAACAAGAAGTCTAGGCTGTATAGGAACTTTCTCAAAACTGCAGGGAGAATTTTATCGCTACTGTGAAATACAGCGGTGACAGCAAAGCTGCGTTTACAAACCTTTGGCCCGTGACTCCTCCGAGAGGTGGGGGCTCCAGCCATCCCAGGGGCTGCGCTGCTCTGGCCCCACAGAGCTCAGAGGCAGGAGCAGCCTCGGCTGCATCCCCGAGGGGCACCCAGGGAGTCGCACACCAGGCCAGCCCTTGCTACTTCGCCAAGCCCAACTTTCAAGCCTGAGGTAGCAAGTTAACATTAAAGGGTTAAGCAGGAATAGCAGATGTGCTTACCTCATCATAATATTTCACTACGTATCTGTAGATTTCAATCAAGGCCACTTTCTCATTAAATTCATTTTCATGTTTCTAAAACACAAAACAGTTCTGGTCAGATAGTTCTCCTTTTTAAAAAAAAACTTAACATGAAAGCAAATGAAGTTTCTGCTTCTCAACCATACCTTAGATTCCTGAGTTAGAAATTCTTCAACCTCTGAAGTGGTCAATGGAGGCAGATCCCTGATGGCTTTATAGTACGCTTTCACCTCCTTCTTGTAAAGTGGAATGTCCTTAGCATAGAGAAGTTTATTTGTTGGTGCTTCCTTAAAAGAAAATATTTGAAGCCTTGTCAGTTTTCACAGCACAGATTTCCTAAGGTTCCACCTCCACATACTTAATTGCATCTAATTGTGTCTGTTCTCTGTGTGACTCATTTCTCTTTGCAGTGGTTATATGCAAGGAATCAAGGTTATAAAATGAAGAACAGACGCAGGACCTCAGTAACAGCGCACTGTGTTTCATGACAGTTGCCATATAATTATTCCTGC